CTCTCTCTCTCTCTCTCTCTCTCTCTCTCTCTCTCTCTCTCTCTCTCTCTCTCTCTCTCTCTCTCTCTCTCTCTCTCTCTCCACTGTTTCAGTTTGTCAACGGGCGCTTCAAGAGCCGTGCAGTGACCCACTTCATATGCCTCGTTGAATGTCTAAGGGCCTTACCAGGCCACAACCCGGCCTCAGGCCGAAGGGGCAAAGGACCCCCCGAAGTGGTGCCAGGGCCTGAGCACCCGACAGTTGACTTCAGTCAGTTGCCTGAGGCCCAACAGTCAAAGTCAATATGGACCCAGCCCTGGCCGCCGGTCAGACACACACACTTGTTTGTATGCAGGTACCAAGACAGCATTCGGACCAAGTGAAAGTCCACAACTGTATGCGATCTAGGCCCTCGACTGTGTGTCGATCTGAGCCACCATGAGTGGGGGACCTGAGGCAGGTCAACTCGGTCCATCACTACATAAGACCCTGCCTCCGGGGAGTCAACATTCAGTCATGCTATGCTGCCTTGACGCTGGCTTGACACTAGCTGGACGCCGGCTTGACGCTGGCTGGACGCTGGCTGGACGCTGGCACTGTGGACGACGACGCGAGACTGATGTTGCAGGTTGGTGCCTTCTGCATTGGCGCCAGCCTGTGCTGACGCGGCGCAGGGCCACGTTGTCTTCAACATTGCTGATGTGGCGCATGCCACTCCGTCTTTTGCCACGTTGTTTACATTGCTGAGTTGGACGGGACAAGGAGGGAGATCGGGATCTGTGGATGATTGAGAGGGATCGGGATATATGGATGATTGAGAGGGTCGGGATACTTACCTGAGGTTGATGTCGATACTGTGCCCTGCTGATTGTCTCCAACGTCTTCACGAGAACTGTGCCACGTGGCACTTCGATGTGATCAGGACCTGTCAGGCTCGATACGGGATACTGTTTCGTTGACGTGGAGGCGAGGGGAAGCCCGGAGGAGTGGGAAATGTTGGGCTACTCTCTTGATGGTCACTATCTCTTCCACCCTCTAATCTGTCTATTCCCCGTCCACTCTCTTTGTCTATCTGAAACGAGACAATTGTATCAGAGATCATATTCATGATTATTGGAGACATTGGTCAGAGTTGAGTTACTTTGTATTTCGACCTCTAAGGAGTATCTTACAGACTGGGTTCATTACAATTTGGTATCAAAGCATACCTTCTTCGTTGCGATCTGGTGTCAGGCGCCATGTGGCGCCCAGGTAAGTGGGAAGTGTCGTGCGTGAAACGAGAGAAACATGTTTATTAACGAGTGCGATTATTATCGCAAGTCTACACATTGATTTCCACACGAGCACGCATATTCCCTTGAAGATGATGATGACGTGGACACCTTGAAGTGGAGAACGGTGTCACTACTTACGTGGCACTTTGTTGCTGACCAGGCAGATACCGACGAGAGCATCGTTGGCAGCAGGCTGGCGGGCAGTGGTGAGGGAGAGAGTGGGTATCGAGGCTGCTGACGTGGCACGTTGCCTACGTGGCATAGCGCAGGGGTGCTGATGTGGCATCCTAGGATTGGCAGGGTATTGTCTGACGTGCCATGTACCTGTGTCGCAACTTACCTGCTGACGTGGCGATCCACACTCCAGCGGTACTACTTCGATCTGATGTGGCATACCAGTGGTGGATGAGTTGGCAGTTCGGGCATTGCTAACGTGGCATCCCACCTGAAGGTCGTGCTGACTCTTGATGTTGGCGTGGCACATGTGCTGCGTTAGCATTCCAGGGGTGACAAGTGGCATGCTTTGCACGCTGTCGTGGGTGAGGTATTGATACTTGCACTTGTGTGTTGGCGGGCGGTAGAGTTTCACGCTTTGTTGTAGTGCCACGCGTCGACCCTTGTGGCTGGCCGCATTGGTTTTTGCAGATGATGCAGAGCCAAAGATGAAACGATGCTGACAATTGATTGTTGTTGATTGCGTTGGTTGACTTACTCACTTGTCTTGGCTATTATGTGGTTGTCGTGCATACTCACCTGCGTTGTTGTGTCTTAATCACTCTGGTCGTGGCTAAGGTAGTTGTACGCTCTCGGTAGGACGTCATCCATCACACATATGACAGACAACAGAAGTAGAGATGGGAGGAAATTGAAATTTGTTCCTTCATTATTGTTTCTATAGCAGATTGAAACCGAGTGTGGCTGTGGAATTTATTATTGTTTTATAATTCTTTATTGTGCGGCGAACACACATTGTGAAAATGTATTTCTTCTGGAATCTTTTGCCTCTTTTTGTTTTGACTCGCTTTATTCCTCTCTTCTTCCCTATCTCCTTCACTTTCTTTGGTGATGAAGAAAGTGTTGAATTGAGAACTCGTAGCCAAATTGAAAAACAACGGCAAGAGATGTCCGACCGTTTGCATTAGTTGATCACCGACCTACATGATGCTGGAGCCGAATCTGAACAGCAAGTACGCAACCAATTCGATCTGCGCACAACAGAGAACGAAATAGATCAGGTTGAAACTGTTGTTCAGATGATGGAAGTCAGCGCTCATATACAATAGGTCATCATTCAGAGCCGACAGACTCTCGATAAGATTGTGATTGATCAACTGTCGAAGATAGCCAAAAGCGGGGAAACAGGAAAAGAACAGGGAGAAAGAAGCGGAGCAAAGAAAGAACCGGAATTGTCTGGAGAAATTATGTTGGAAAACATCAAGCAATTGGAAGAAACATTTAATGCGGAAAGAAGAAAGATGGAAGAGTGTCAAAGAAGGAAAAGAGAAAAATAACAGCAAGAAAGAAAAGTGGATGAAATCAAGTAGAAGTTTCATATTGAAGTAACATAATCCGACCTTGTATCCGTTTTGCACACGATGATGGCTTACCTAACCCACCTTGAGGTGAAGATTGACAGTAACACCGTTGCAATTGCGACAATGACTAAACTCGTGAAAGGGAAAGACAAGGTGGTGATTGAGGAAGAAGCCAAGGGAGGGGAAGGGAAGAAAGGACCCCAAGAGAAACTAATGGAGGATGCAATGAAAAAGGTGACACCGGAGACGCTCGAAAGCTCGAAGAAACCGACTGAGAAGAAGGAAAAAACCGCCAAGACGAAAGAACCGGCCAAAGAAGTTGAGTAGCCAAAAAGAAAATAAAAAGTGAAAAATAAACTTCCTTTTAGCTACAATGGAAAGATGGGGGAGCATCTGTTGCTCTGGATCGCTGAGATCCATACATATTGTGGGACTGTACTGGTAGAGCTCGAAAGTCAGGTGGCTTTCACAACTTCACGTCTAGGTGAGACCGTCAAGGAATAGGTATTGTCCGAAGCTAACGTCGTTGACTTCGAGGACATAGGTGAGTGGGCTAAAACCTTGATCCTCCGGGAATTCCTCCAAAAGATTAAGGAGAGATTCTTGGATAAAACCTAGGTTGTTTTATCGGACGTCTGGTCGGACGTCGGACCGGACAGGGGATGTCCGACCTCGCGCAAAAAAACAAACAAACAAACAAACAAACAAACAAACAAACAAAAAATCATGTGGATAAAACTTTTTTTGCTTTTTTGAAAAAAATCATGTGGCTTCTACCTTTGCATAAGGTGTATGCCACCAAAATTTTGGCTTATTCGAGCGAGTAGAAAAGAAGATAAAAATCTTCAAAGATTCTAATCCCCACCTATACCCCTCTTATCCCCACCAAAACCCCTCGTATCCCCCCCTTCCACCCCAAATAGCACCCTATCACCAAATGCTCAGAAAGTTCTGATTTTTTTTTTATGGGGGGTCTCTATGGCATGCGCAACACTGTCTTTTTTTTTTTCTTTTTTTTTTTTTCTTTTTTTTTTAGTGCCAAAAAGTCGACGTCCGGAAATCCGGACGACGGGGGTACCCTACGTCCGGGGAGACGTCCGGACGAGACGTCCGATCTCCGGACCATTGGTAACATAGGATAAAACCATGATCGATAAGACCTTTGATGAGCTCACTACTATTCGTCAAAAA